AGATGTTTTTTTTTTATTTGTAGAATTAATCCAGACTACGGCCAGCTTATCTGATGTACGAATGACGTCAACGGAACACAGTTATTAGTGGTTCCTCTAATTGACACGATCATTTGCTACATTCATCATCCTCTAGAAATAAATATAAAACGCACGAAATCAATCAACTGTAATTAAATCGCGGTACAAATGTTTTATTTATTACTAAATATCCTGTTATCTTTTTAGTTTTACTTTAGTTGACCGGATTTCAGGATTTCTCCACTAATTGACGTTCTAAAATAGATCCGGGCAAAGGCCTTTACACGTTCAGCCACCTCAAGACCCTGATAAAATTGTGGATCACCCTTAATGGCAAACAATGGTTTAACTTATGTATATATGTACATATGTATAATGTCTGTTTTACGTGAGTCGATGGCGCACCTCGTCATTGTTTATTCAGCTTATAATTACAGACAATAAAGATTTTAATGATCATTTTTTGCGTGTTTTGCTCATTCATCGTTTTAAGACGAAGTTGGATTCAGTAGGTAATGTTGGGTTACTATACATTTATGAGTTTTTTTTTTATCTTTATATACCTTTGTTTTTTGTTAAATTGGTAACTCTCATAAGCACGGATATTTAATGAGAAGATGTCTTTTAAAAATTAATAAACACAATTAAAAAAAAATTATATGCTCTGCATTAACTTGATTCATTAACCGTGAGTTTCTGAGACCAAAATGTTGAAAATATATTCCGTTTTTTCAAAGGTAATGACAGGGATGACGATATGTTTTATACGGAGATTTTGGTATCAGAAACCAACGGTTACTCAATTCATTTTCGATTTGTTCACTAACATAATATTACTTATGAAATTACCTTTTAAAATGTATTAAACTTACTTGTTATGCATACATTTGTAAAGAGATTAATTTCAAACGTTAATGCTGTGGGCGGTAGTTAGCGAAATAACAGAACTAGTTTCTAGGCATTTTACAATGTAGATTATGTTACATAATATAAAATATATGTAATAAGCACTTGATAGAACATGAAGAAAAAGATAGCCTTATTGTTAGAACGTGACAAATTGCATTTCTCCAAGTTAAGCATTTACAAAATAACTTGATGTTGACAATTATCTCTGTTATCAGCATTATATACAATTGCTTATGTCATTTTATAAAATTGCTTAACGGAAGTAAATGTCAATTATGGTTACTTAATAGTGCAATCTCTTTTTTTTTTTAAATAAAAATATTAGCAGATTTTTTTTAAAAATTTACTATAATTTCTTTTACCATTCCAAATGAGCTCTAAGCTTGTGCTAGGATATGGTTTACGACAATAGTCGAATGGCGGGATTCGAACCCCCGACCTCGTGATCGGAAATCCGTACCCTTAACCATTAGGCTATTGACGCTTAATTTTTATTACTTTTAAATTCTTTATTTATATACTTTCGCACGTCTCTCATAAAACACATACAGATGTGCTTTTCTGAACTTCAACAAACATATGCACGCGTCACTGTTTCGCTTTCATTGAATATAGGAAGGAATGCATTGGTATTTTTACACAATAACATACTAACGATAAATGTTTTTAAAACACACTGAGTAAGGCCTCACTAACAAGGATACTCTGATGACACTTAAACACGTTACTAAAGACTAAATAATTAACATTTAGCTTCAAAAAGTAAAAAAAAAAGACATTGGTTATTTAAATTTAATAGCAGCGTTTGTAACTGCAATAAAAGTTATACTCGTATGATTTGATAAAATTAATTTCTTGGTAATATTATATTTTACGTTTTACTTATTAAGTGTTCGAATAACTTGAGAACCTTAATCGTTTTGTTCACAAACTGGTTTAAAAAAAGTATTTTTACAGTAAGTCTTGTATTTCACTTCACATATCTAAATTTCTCTCTCCCTATTCTTTTATTATAGATATTTGCTCATATTTATCTTGATAATCTTAGTGTTAATTCAACTTTGTTTTTTCACGATTTCAATTACGATTCTATTAATAATCAGTACATATTATTCCAACGTTTATATTTTTTCATTATTTAAAAATTATTATTATTAAGGAAGAACTCATGGAGACTAAAATGACTTCAATTACTTGAATCGTAGCAAACCGCTGATAACTACTAGATCAGTCTTAGTAGTAAATATCATCATCATCAACTCAGTATATGTCTCTACTGAGGGGCTCGGAGCCTATCCTAAGATAAGGCTGAATAGGCGTTAGTCAACCAGTACAGCCCAGTGCGGGTTGACTTCACACATATCTTTGAATTTCTTCTGACATTTGTGAAGATTGCATCACGTCTTTTTCCTACTTATTAAGAACATCGGATAAATGCACATATGTAAATTGTAATTCGAAAAACTCATTTGTAAATGGCGGGATTCGAACACAGGACCTGCAGATTGTAAGTCAAGTGCTTAACCCCTGAGCTACTGACGCTCCAGTAATAAATATATGTGGTTTACTAATCTAGTGTTGAGCTGGTACTAAGATGTTGCTCATTTGAACGGAAGTCAAGTATATAAATAACATATCTATTGCGTTTATTTAATCTGTTGGACTTGAGAAGCGGAACCGGCTATTGTCATAAATTGTACCCCGATGTTTTATCAGCGATGCATCGGGCGTTCATCACTCTTTTATTATTAACACGAGGTTTTCCGTAGTCGTTTCTTGCATATTATGTTGCGGCAACTCGGGGAAGCTAATGCTTATTATATCAAATAAACGCATAATAATCTACCTTTTTATAATTTGTAAAATATAATTAAATAATTTATACGTTAACGTATAGATGAATAAGGTTTATAATCATCTAACATATGGCGTTAGAAATATAAGAAAATTGAAATAAATTCTGTTTTTAGATAATGATAGGATCTATATTATCTATAACTTATTGAGATATATTTTTCTGTCCCATATATTAAAGTTACTGTAAAATGTACCACAACTTGGCAGTTGACAGTGTGACAGACTAAAAATACATTATTTCGTCTTTAAGTAAAGTTATTAAATGAAACTTAAGATTTATCTAAAAAAAAGTTTTTGTTTTATTGTTATATTTAATTTGATTTACTTGAACCGCCGTGAACACAGCTGCAACCTGAATCCATGGCAAAAGTTAATAAATTGCGAATCACGTCCCTACATAAATTGACTATAAGGAAATCAAACTTCGCAAGAACGCTAAAAGATAGACTAACAATGAATTTACAAATATATACAACACAATTGTGAATACATAAGTTTGGATAATGTAATCCTACGATTACTGAATTATAATAATGATTAATTACAAGAAAAAAGAAAGAAAAAAATATATCTTTCAATTTAACACAATAAAATATCATTCACTAAATCAAATTAGACATTTTCTTTTTGGAAACAAATTTTAAAAGCATACTTAAAATTATTGTTTAAATAATGATGTAAGTTTTGTCATACCTCGTATTTAAATCCGGTTTTAGTCCCTCTAACATTAAACTAAGTTTTAACCTTGAGAGAGCATCAATTATATCGTCCTGTAAGAGATTTACTAGATGTAGACAAAAAACGTAATTTGCTATGCGGATGTCGTTACCACTATCAAATTATTTTTATGCATCAAAGCAATTAATCATTACGTCGGGTAAATATTCGGAATATTCATAATATTATTAAGGGAATGGAATAGTCGCCTCTTCTCATATTCATGCTAAACTCATAAAAAATCACTGACTTGGTCTTTCTTAATCAATGTACATCACTAGCTGTTTTCCGTGACTTCTGGATTTGGGCGACTTCTTTAGACCGTAACCTATTCCTGTTCTAAATTTAAATTCATTGAGTCGCTATGGATTTAATATAAATCTATACATTTAAACATTCCCAATTGAAATAGATTAAAAATTTGAATATTAAATTACGTCATGTTGATTAATAATATACCACAACTTACACCCTCGTGTAGATCTAGTTTTAGTCGGTGTAAACATAATGTCATCATCATCATCAGCTCACTATACGTCCCCAACGAGGGGCTCGGAGCCTACCCTAAGTTAAGGGTGATTAGGCCATAGTCAACCACGCTGGCCAAGTGCGGGTTGGTTGACTTCACACATATTTCTTCTCAGATATGTGCAGGTTGCATCACGATGTTTTCCTTAATCGTAAGAACGTCGGATAAATGTACATATGTTAATCGGAAATCGAAAAACATATTGATACATGGCGGAATTCGAACCCAGGGCTTGCAGATTGCAAGTCAAGTGCTTGACCCCTGAGCCACCGACGCTCTCATAACATAATGTTATAATATGCATAAATTGTCAAGCCACGAAAAGGTTAGCTGTTTCATTGTGTAACAAATATATATCTATTGATCGAAAACATTTATTAAAGCGTTTACTTAGTTTAAAATACCAATAAAAGTAAACTCGTTTCATCTCATTTCGTATCAACATATTAATGACTTTTAAGAAATGTTTAAGGAAAATACTTTTGCATTTTTTCATTTGCGATAATCCCAAGTTAAAACGATTGGGTAGCGTCCTCGATTATAATTAACTTTAATTTTGAGTGTGGTTGTTTGACCACTTGATGTCTTTGGAATGTTACAATAATTACTTCATATTTTAACGTGGTACTAATACATAGATCTTAAGAAAATAATATCGCTATGCGCTACTATTTCATATCATTTTCATCAGTGGTTTTCAACCTGTTGGTAGCGAGATACAAATATATAAGGGGGTCGATTAGCGAATATCAGTTAAGTAGTTTTAATATGTTAACGTCCCTATTAAATCCGTTCACTATTATTTGGAGGGTCGCTAATTATTTTTTATATATTAAGCGGTCGAAAGGTTGACAAGCACTGAACTTGTAAAACTAGATATGGCTTTGTATTAGCTGTGCGTATTGCTGGGCGTGCTTGCGATGCTGTGCGTTGTAACGCCTCGCTCACGTGTCCGGTTTGATTGTAGCTACGGAGGGCTGGCCTGCCACTCGCCCGGACCCCGCTCCATTCCCGCGGGGACTCTTTGCCGATACTCCGCTAACGACAATCACGTAGTACGTATTACAATTGAATTTATTGAAACGTTTATTTTAAATTGTTAATTAATTTTATAGTATAAAAGAAATGTGAGTTTTTTTTAATTTATTCTGTGTAATTTATGGTGTTATGAATATTTAAACTTGATAATATAATATACTTATTGGTAGAGTGACGTAGCGAACGCAACTTGCGCGTGATCAGTTTTCATGCCTAGTAAGGAAATGTCAATCGCAAACTTTTTTATATCAACAACGAATGACTTTATGATATTAAATAGTTGTATGACCACTATCAACTTTTTATGATACCTCTATTATTAAATGGAACTGTGCAAGGACAGGGTTACATTTGTTTGGTTTTTTGGTGAAGTCACTTAAATAAGAAAATGTTTTGTAATTTTCATTAAATCGAGGATCTTATTTCAACTGAAATAACCTCATCCTGAAAGATTACTATTGAATTCTGTATAATTAATTTATATAATTCTTAAATAGTTAAAAACTTTTATATGCATAACTTTAAAAATGATTTAACCATGATTAGGCCACAGTCAATTACGTTGGCCAATTGCGAGTTAGTTGATTTCGCACAAATCTTTGAATTTCTTCAATCATTCCATTAATTAAAGCAAATTATCACTTAATATTTTTACTGCTAATTAAAACGATTAGGATGAAAAGATGATATAAAAGTATTAAGTTCAAATAACAGTACTAATATACACTTTTATGATACGTACGTGTTTTATGCAAATTGAATTCCAAATAAGATTGTTATAAAATAATCAAAAGAAAATACAAACTTAATAAGACATTTAAACTTATGGGAAATATATTGTAGTACATACAAATCTTACTAAATACATGAACCACAGTCTACTAGTAAACTGCGTTAGATGTATGAATGTTTGTTAACAAGTAACTCAAAACGGCTAAAGGGATTTAAATTAAATTTGGCACAAAGATAATTTATTCTGTGTTAAGTATTCCGCGCAAACAAAGTCGCAGGCAAAAATCAGTTTCATCATATCTTTGATATTATGTTGTCTTGACTATACAGACAGATAACAATCACTGTTTAGTCTAGCCTGGGAAAAAGCAATATTGTATTTCGCAAAGCAAATATCTTGCAGTACCAAATTAAATAGGAGTTCTGAAATGACATTACAATAGCGATTACATCAATGATTTAAACACCTACAAATTATACAATACAAAGCAAAATTTTATTATAATCATTATAACTTTAATTATAAAAATATATATGTATTGTAAATAATATTTCTAATCTCGACAATCAAAGGATTTTTAATTAAATGTATATTTCATAGTAGCTGTCGCCCGCTACACCGTGCGTGAAGAATTAAAAACACTTAATTAGTAGCCTATATGTATTCTTCCAAACTATGTTCTATATGTATGCCAAATTTCATCGACATCCATTCAGCCGTTCTGGAGATAACTTCTAACAGACATCCATCCATCTAAACATCTAAACATTCACATTTATAATATTAGTAAAATGTCTATGGTAAAAATGTTATAACAAACTACATATGTTTTTAAATTACTTTAATGCCTGCAACACAATGCAATATCGTTTCAGGATCAAAGCGAAGTTGGTAGAGAAACCATATTTACTTTTGTATTTGATTTTCGCTTCGTATTCGTGTCTCAGTGTTTACATTTCGCCTCGATTCCGGTTCGCTTTTGCGGTTGTGTACTACAGGTGTACAATACGAGGTCACGCTTTCTCTGGCGACAGCAACCTTGCGACAATTCGGTTTTTACGCTTCATTTCACACAAACTCCAGCAACTAATTGCGATTACATACAAGTTTTTTTTACTACCCAAAATTTACAATTCGATTTTTAGTTTTTGCTAGGTTGTTTATGGAGTCTTTAGGTGTAAAGATATATTTTAAGCAATTAACAGCAACTCCTCCAATCTCACTAATATTATAAAGCTAAAGTTTACATAGATGGATGAATAGATGTTTTTAGAAAGTATCTCCATAACGGCTGAACGGATCTCGCTGAAATGTGGCATAGTGTAGAACATAGTCTAAAAGAACACGTAGGCTACTAACTACGTTTTTTATTAATTTAGCTAGTATATAATATAAAAGCACAGAGGAACAACAGATTATAAAATGATTCAACTGTTTATTCTTATGGCTTGATATGATGTAAACAAACGGTAAAACTACGAGTTTATTTTTAACTTCATTAAATGTTTTTCTGTTTGTTTTCCACAAATACCTTCTACTATGTATATTTAATTTAAAAACCATCTTCAAAAGTTAAATTATATATTTAACAACATTTAATTAGACATTGTTGGCGCTGAAGCAATTTTAAGAATCGAAACAGGAAAATATTTTACACATTCCTCGTACCCGCAGGTTATTTAAAAAAACATACCACTTTTGCGAGTCGCACAAATAAGTGTTCTGTAAAAAAGATAATTTATTTTTATAACGACTTTGAAAATAACTAGTACATTCCGTAAATAATTAATATATTTAATTATTAAATAAAACAAAACATGCATTATTTCAATTTAAATAATCTTATTAATATTATAAATGCGATTGTTTAGATGGATGTTTGTTAGATGGTATCTCTAGAACGGCTCAATGGATCTTGGCGAAATTTGACACAGATGTAGGACATAGTCTACAACACATAGGCTACCTAGGTTTTTTAATTCGCATAAACATAGTTGGGCGACAGCTATTAGAATGTATTTTATTCTAACAGTGAAACTATTATGTTGATTAATTCGATGTAAGAAATTAAGAAATCCGGAACCATATTCATAGTTGAAAAGTTGTGCGGTTTTAGCAATAGAAATGACCGTTCATGACAGATATGGTGGTAATTTACATACGTAAATGTTAACATCCAGAAGAATAACTAAGACTTTTGTTTTATAAATATGACTATTATTATCATTTGTAGGTCAGATTGTCACGTGTCTTGTTTAATATTATGCATGTGATACGACTACTTAATTTTGCTGGGTTGTTATTTTTTTTTTAATCTTTGTTCCTAATTCGAATAACTGCTTACCACAGATATAATCTCGATGATATCATTTGTTATGGTTTTTATTACGTCATATTTCGATATTCTATAAACAACAACCTTTAAATACTTTAGATAGACCTATTCTTCTTCTTCTAGCTCTACAGCCCTTTGTGGGCCATGGCTTGGTCCAGCAACATTTTCCATCTCGGTCTATCTCTGGCCACGGACTTCCAGTTTGCTATGCCCACTTTTTATTGCGTCCTTATTAACGCCGTCTATCCATCGGAGCTTTGGTCTCCCTCGACTTCGACGACCTTCGGGATTACTCGCCATCACACTCTTAGGGACTCTGGCTTCATCCATCCGCTCTACGTGGCCGGCCCATCTAAGCCTGTTCAATTTGATGTGTCCCGTCACGTGCAGCTCCTGGTACAAGTCATAGAGCTCTTGGTTGTACCGGCTTCGCCATTGGTTGTCTTCGCACACGGCACTAAAAATACGCCTAAGGATTTCCCTATTAGATAGACCTATAGTGCTAACAAAATTATTATTAAGACTCTTAAAACTTTGGTAACAATTAACTTAGGTGATAAAATATTACAAACTCGATATTTGTTTTTATTAGACATTTATATTGCATTGTTTTGTTTATTTACTTCTAAAAAATGTTTAACAAACGTTTAAATTCCGTACATAAAAATGTATCTTTATCGTACTTACAATGTTATTGTATGGCCATAATTTTAATCTGTATATATATAAGAAAGTCGTGTTAGTTACACTATTTATAAGTCAAGAATGGCTTCACCGATATGGCTGAAAATTGGTGAGGAGGTAGCTTAGAGCCAGGAGACGGACGTAGGATACTATTTGTTCATTTTTTTTCGAATTTATGCCTTGAAGAGCTGCTTTTTATTTAACTTACTAATATTATAAATGCGAATGTTTAGATGGACGTGATGTGGATAAATGGATGGGTGTTTGAAGATATCTTTATAAAGGATAAACGGATCTCGATTAAATTTGCCATACGTATAGAATAGTCTGAAAGAACACATAGGCTACACTAATTAAGTTTTTTTTATATATCCATGCGGACGGAGTCGCAGGCGACAGCTAGTAATATTATGAATGCGAATGTTCACGTGGTTGGATGTATGGATCTCGCTGAATATTGGTATAGATGTAGAATACATAAGCTAAGACAACACACTAATTACGTTTTTAAATTCCGCGCGGACGGAGTTGCGGACGAGAATATCGTTTAAAAAAATCCGGGGTCATGCGGAAAAATAAAAGTTAATACTAAGAATCTTTAATAAAATAGGATTGGGAAAAATAAGGATTGATTACTTTTTTCTCAGCTACATTTCACTGCTTCATTAATCTATGACGTACTCATTGGCTTATATGCGTAAGTAAATCAAGTTAGGCATATACGATGGCGTATCAACTAGTTAGCCTCGACAATCTTTGTATATGTAATTCTCTTTTGTTTTGCCTATTTTGACGTGCGTTAGATCTTTCACTTCTTGTCCAGCATAAAAAAGGGTCTTGACAGACAGACGGATGGACAATAAAGTGATCCTATAAGGGTTCCGTTTTTATCCTTTCGAAGTACGGAACCCTAAAAATAATTGAACTTCATACTTATAAGTTATATGATTTACCAAAAACAAGACTGAACAATCTTCTTTTTGTACACAGTTTCAGTCCAGTGATTGAATCGGGTTACGACATTGGAAAAATGTAAACTGATATTATCTGACACAATGCATTCTATATAGTATAAATTACATTTTTCCAGTAGGAATCAAAATATGATCACTGGACTGGAATAATGTAAACTGGGCAGTTGTTATTCTAACCTCTGATTATTGGCTTCAATTGAAAGGTATATAGATGTATATTTAACATTAATGATTGTATTTTTTATAATATGTAAAAATGTATGAAGCATATAAAATAATGAAATGAATAAT